TGTGGTGGTCTGCTTGCCCATGGGTTAGGTCTTGGAGGTTGAGTGTTTGCCGTGAATTGTTGCCTTGGTGGTTGGAATCGAGCGGGTTGTATCGGCCATCTTGGAGTAAATGTTGGTCGGGACGGTGCTGGATTACTTCCGAAAAATGGTTGATGTAACTGTGGCCTGGGCATGGGTTTTTGCCATTGTGGTGGTGTTGTGAACTGCGGTTGTCTCTGAGGTTGTATGTGGGTAGAATTCTTATTTGGCAATGAAAAATTTGTTTTCTGCAAATATCTAATATTGTTTTCTTCTTGGATAAATTGAAGAGCGAAAGCAAGATTTGTAGGCCTCATTGTTCGTATGGTTGATCCCATTGGTTCTTGTAATCCTGCTAAGAACGTAGTTAGGGCCTGCTGTTGAAAGAATTCCTTTTTGCTCCTCTTTACATCTGAATTATCGGTATCTAGTTCGATGTGATTAGAAATTGTGTTTAAAAGTGACATTACTTTCTCGTGAAATTATTGAGGAGTTTCGTTGGGTCCTTGCCTTAAGTTTACCATGTCTCTTGTAAGTGAATTTTCATTACGTTGATCGGCAAAGTTTTGAATTAGTATGGTCCTTATTGTGGGCCAATCTTTACACCCATATACGGAAATGATTTCTCGAGCTCTTCCCTTAATTTTATTCATCACACCTCGAGTTATCATGTGATTTTGGAAGTTATCGGGATTATTGTGGTCCCAGAAATGATTAAGAAGCATTGTAGTAACTTCAATGAAGTTATGAAGTTCATTAGGGTTGCCATCGTAATCGGGCGCGATGGAAAGATCTTTATTGACGTCGAAAACTAAAGCGGGAGCGGGTGCCACGGCCATAGTATTTAATTGACTAGCGGGAGTAATAATTATAGATGGTATGTCTAAGCTATTTAAAGTATTATTTAAAGAACTAACGTTGGTTTTTAAACTAAATTGAGAAGCTGAGTTATTTTACGCAATAGAAGCAGCACCAGGTTCGATAATCGATTCACTAATCGTTGAAAGAGAATTACTAATTCTAAGAGATGAAGCTTATGAAGCGATTAAATTATGATTAGAAAAAAGATTAAATTTGCTTACAGATAAATGATGATGCTTGGGTGCATTTCTTTTCGAAGGAACCGGTTCTTTTCTTCTTTCGCTTTCTTTTTATATCCCTTTCAGGCCTGAACTTTTTTTGAGTGAAAATTAAGTTTCCCTTTGAGTAAATACGATATACACTATCCAAAAAAGGTATAAAAAATGCAGAAAAAAAAATTCATAGTTTGAATTTGTCAAAAATGACATATCACGTTCGTGCGCTCTCGGCTTATGTTCTATCAACGCACGATCGTGAGTGTTTACTTTTATTAAACCTAATTAGGATTAGGTTAGGACCAAATAAAAATTATTTTATATTTTTTTAACATTTATAACATACAACCTTAAATAAAACAAAAACTAGGAGTAAATTTCAAGCAATTATACGTGAACATATTGTCAGGTACAGAAATTTCAAAAAAATAATAATTATTTTTTATGGTAATCTCTAAAACAGGACTTGTTGCGTGACAAACACAAATAAACATTGCACTTTTCACATCTAACTTTAGACCTACTAGAGCAATTTTCAAATCTGCATGTTCTAGGAGCTGGAATTTCATCAAAAATAGGAAAATGTTCATAACAATCATACCTCCTTGAGTCACTTGGATTATTGGCTGGTCGATACCTTTTTTGGTTTACAACTGGATCAATATCCATAGATTGAGTGTCTTCACTTGTTGATGAAGGATTTTTAGTTTTCGTTCCAATGAGACCATCGGCTACTTCTAATCTGAACTGAAGCAAATCTGCTATTTTCTTTTTCGGAATATGTGCATTGATGGCTTCAGTTATATAAAGGCGCCAAGCATTTACTACACAAAGGTCTATAAAGTGCAATATTACTTTGAGGGTCCATTTTTTTGTTTTCATGAATGTGCGATAATATTCCATACCTTGGTCTAGAACGTCCACACCTCCCATGTTGGTATTGTAGTTGTGAATAAGCTTTGGCATGGAAACTTGAATATAAGCTTTAGAAGTTTTATCCCAGCGATTCACATTCACTGTATTGTCAGCTGATGTACAATTCGATACCATAAGCACAGATTTATTGTCTTTCCATTTAACAACAACTAAGTCTCCACACACAAATTGCTGTGATTCGCCTCGTTTCATACAACGATCTTCTTTAAAAGGTATCTTTCTCCGTTCTGGAAGTCTGTTCATCATCAAAGTAGCTGTTCCATGAAGTTTCATTTGAGATAGACGTTCAATGAGGGGTATTGATGAAAAATATCTATCAAAATAGAGACAGCTTCCTGGAGGAATTGACTTTGATAGGTGTAGAATCACAGCTGCGGAAACTCCAAGTGATCTGTCAGGGAAGGGAGTCCTTGCACCTTGATATACCTCAAAGTCTATCATTAGACCGTCGCTTGTTGTAGTCACAAACACTTTTAGGCCTTGAGGTCGCGGTTTGTTTTTAACTACTTGTCTTAAGCCATTTGGACATCTTCCACAGAAAGGAATAATCTGTTCGTCAATGGAATAATTACCTGGATGTCTTTCTAATCTGTCACATGCTCGTTTAACTGCAGTTATGATGGGTTGTACCTTCCAAAGTGCATTCGTATTACCTTCAGGTGCTATGTCCTCATCAACTACATGCAAGGCTGTACGCAATGTCTTGAAACGGTCTCGTGACATTTGGCTTGATACCATGTGAAGTTGCATCTCTTGACGCCAATACATGTGAAGTCTAGGATAAGGGATGCATCCCATAATCAAGTGTATACCTATTAACTTCTTTATTTCTTCACTGTTTGTGTTCAGCATGTGACCTGTCTTACGCATATAATAATTATTTGACCAATTTGCAGCTAAATCAAAGAAACCATTATTTAAATAATCGGAAAAGTACTCCATAGCATTTCTGATTGGTTTAGGTGTACTTTCTGGATAATTATGATTTTTTTGCTGAAATGTCGTGTCTTTCCATTGCCTCCTTGCTGTAGAAGAGCTCGTTGAAGGAACAGGTTCTTCATCCAATACAGTTTCTTCAATATCCTTGTCATCGATGTCATTTTCAAATGTTTGAACCTCAAAAGCATCATCATTTTCGTCATCAAAATCTTCTATTTCAGACTCGTTGCCATCATTTAATAACTCTAGAGCCAACTCGTGGGTAAGAGGCACACCTGTAATTAGAAAAAAAAATATTTGTATCATTTAAATAGAGAAAAATTAATAAAAAGTTAAACCAATACATATTTAGTATTTTTAATTTCCTGCTATTGAAAATTGAATTTGTGACGACAACTCACTATCGTGATATTCAAATATTATGGGACAATATCTCTACAAACAAACCAATAATTTCTTAAATCTTGTTTATTATCACGAAGTTTAAACTTTACTTATACCAGAAACCCGTTACCATAAAATAAATACATAAAATAAAAACAAAATATCTTTTACTTACGTTTACCGGTTTTGTCATTAAAATACACAGCCATCTTCTGGGGTATTCTATTGCAAACTAATCGCGAATTCGTTAAATAATTTCAGTTGTGCTGATAATGCATGATAGACACAACATATTGAATCATCTATCCCAGTAAAAATATGTTTATTTTAATATTGATACTCATATAAACATGAGCTCACGATCGTGTCAGCCGGTCACGAAAGGGATATAAATCTTTCGTCATATAAATTGATTTCTACACTTTAACACTGGATTTTCGTTGACTTCTGGGGTTGAACAGCCATAGTTTTCCCTTGAAGTTGGTAGGTTCGTAGCGGGTAAACGTTTAAGAACGACGAGGATCTTCTGTAGACTCTCCCACTATCTTACTGCACTGTGCCACTTAAAGGTTTGAACTCGCGAAGGTACTTTTTAAAAAGACCCTTTATTAACTTTTACAACTATACTGCACTGCTTTATTGATTGAAAATAACTGAATTTAATTACAATACAATTTCTTTTATATAAAAATTAAATGCTGACAAAGTGTTGATTGAGTTTGCTGACCTCCGGGGTTACTGCACCGTAATTTGCGGTACCCATCGCACAGATCGCTTTTTCATGTCCAAATGATGGTGAATGATGTTGTGTACGCGTTCGTAGGAAATGTTTAGGACCTCTATTAACTCACGGAGCTTAATTCGACGATCTGCCATAATCGTTAATGGACTTTGTTGATCATTTCCGGCATGGTGACTTCATTTGGCCTCCCGGGATGCTCATCATCAAAAACACTCGTACGATCACGAACAAATTCAGCTTTCCAAAATTTCACTGTTGCTAATGAAGGTGCAACCTCACCATAAACTTCGTCCAGATCGGCTTTGATTTGCACATTCGTTTTACCCTTTTTATCACCGAACAATACTCAACTTTTTTCATTTCTCCGAAAACACAAAATTTGCTTGCTTTTGACGGCTGTAAAATCCAAACTAATTGTTTTTAAAACTTAAAATTTTGACAGACGTCATATCATGAATGGCAAATGTCAACATCGAAACCAATTCAGTATCAAATAGCGCCATCTATCAAAGGCTAGTTTAATATCAATCTATTCTCGTATATGCAGTCTACAGTAAACCCGTTGATTTTTATTTCTAACTGAGCGGTCTCACATTATTTTTTTAAGATAATTTTAATATCTATTTAGTCATACCAATATGTTATAAGTAATTATTTGATTATATTAATATGTTAATATAAAATCGTAAGACCTTGGTTTTGTATTAATGATAATGTTACATAAATAATTTTGCACTGTTTAGTACAAAGCTTCTCACCCTGTTTGTATTTTTGATTTTTTTCCGCTGCATCTTCCATACCATGACATGTCTGCACAACCTGACAACAAAAATCACCAACACTTGAAATCAAACAAATTAAAAAACAAATCATTATCAAATTAACAATTCCCGGACATGGAACAGATCGTCCCCATAGATAGACTGGTGAAAGGTAGATTCCAAGACAATTTTGAGTTCCTACAGTGGTTCAAGAAGTTTTTTGATGCCAATTACAAAGGAACGGACTACGATGCGTTGGGGGCGCGTGCCGGAGAACAATTGGGGCAAGGAGGATCTAACGCCCCTAGAGGTCAATCTTTGATGTTACGTCGGCCGAACGCGACGCCCTCTGCGCACGTACTCCAACCACAACAGACTTCGCCGACTAAGCCGAAGCCTGCCATTAGGGCTAGTAGGTTTGGGGCTTCATTTAAAGCTCATTCATATTCCTTCTACATTTTTTATTTCGATGTATTCGATGCAAAATATCTTTTAGTTAATCTAGTCAAATCTTGGACAAAAACTATATTGTATATGAATTATCTATAGACGGGAATAATAATACTGAATTTAAAATACTACTGAACTTTTATTCATATACAGGGTGGTCCTTAAGTAATTGCACAAAAAGAAACCGTAGACTCTACACTTTAAAATATTAGTATTTATGCCAAATTGCTTTAATAACATGTTGGTATTAAGAAAGTTAAAGTGGAAATTTAAAATTTTATTTTTAGTTACAACTTTCATGTTTGTAAACATATTTGTATAAAAATTTACAACAAAACATATAACTTTCTTAATATCAATATTTTATTAAAGCAATTTGGCTTAAATCATAATATTTTAAAGTTTAGAATCTACTGTTTCTTTTTGTACAATTACTTAAGGACTACCCAGTATATATGTATATGTATTATGTATGTATGTATCTGTCGATTATTTTGAAATAATGGTAAACCCTGTATATTTCTGATTTACTTATTTTTCAAACCAGGAATCGAAATATAAGTTTTAAAATAATGGTGTATATGTAAAATAATATAAACGGTGTACTTTTTATAAACTTGTTCGACACATTTTTTTACATCGGATATATCGATCTAAATAAATACTAATGACCAATTTGTATGTCAGCAATTTAATACATATTTATCTAATTTAGCTATTATTTTCGAGTTCACAAACAACTTAAATGCTTAATTTTTTTTTATTTTACTTAATTTTTATTAGTTTTTCATAGTTCAAAATTCAACAACAAACAAACAAATTCAAAACGAATACGAGCCCTAAAAACTATATGTTGGAACAAACAGTTATTTTGTGAATATAATGCCAATTTACTGAAATTCTTTTATTTATTTTTTTTTAATTGTAAATATAAAATTAACAACATTTTTATGATGTATGGATTTATTTTTGCGGCTTAATTATATATTTTTTATTGAATACTATGTAATGAATCGTTTGATAATCGAAAACTGCTGGCAACTAAATGTTGGAACATTTTTAGCTTTTCCTCACGTTTCTTAAATTTTATCAGCCTTTTTCTTTTTTTCTTCTTTTATGAGGGGGGGGGGGTGATCCAAATGTTCAAAACATACCTCGGTCCTAGAAGGAGAGCAGAACCTTCCAGCTTCGGTTATGCAGGACTCCTCCAGCGTGGCCACGATGATATCCGAGGCCGCTCGCTCGGGTTGTTCGGACACCATCGCCGCCAATGCCAGAGACCTACCTGCTAAAAAAACACCCTACTCAGCGGTGAATTACCTGCCGGATCGCACTGATTGGGACGCAACTTCGGCACGGCAGTCACCCGAACTTTCATTCACGAACAATTCTCACGCATTCTAGCACTTTCTCACTACGACGGAATTCTTCTCTCCATCTATTCCTCCCTATTTATGTTAAATCTCGCTTATTCTGCCTTATCTTCTTGCTTGGTCCTGGGCACCCTGCCTATCTTTGGGTCGCCTTTCTTCTTGTTCCTTTCTTTCCAATGTTTTCCTCACATATCTCTGAACTGCTCTCCACCGATCTGACGACCATCTCCTCCATCAATTCCGTGACTGATTGCACCCTACCTCCTAACTCTCTCTCTCTCAGGCTCCTCTCAACTATCCATCTATCGCATACCAATAGGGTGTGTGAGATAGTGTCCGATATTCCACAATACAGGCATTTGTCATTTTCTGCCTTTCCAAATCTGTAAAGGTATGCCCTGAATCAACCATGTCCTGTGAGCATCTGCGTCAGGAAATAATCCAAACGCCGGTGCCCGCAATCCATCCATCTTCTCAGGTTAGGAATCAACGACTTCGTCCACTGCGCCACCCTTCTCATCTCATCCCATTCCTCTTGCCATACCATTATGGACCTTTCCCTTTCTTCTTTTTTTAAACGTTCCATTGCTATGTCTTTATTTCTTCTCTCGTATATTTTTCCTCTTTCCTTCACTAGCACGTGCATTGCAATACACCCAGTGATAACTCCTAATGCCTCTGCAGAAACTGTTCTGTAGCACACCCCACCCTCAATAGGCTCTTCCTATCTGCTCGGGTGAGCTGTTTTCTGTACGCCTTTGTTAAAACTGCAGAACTCCAGACCGGCGCAGCGTAGTGGACGATCGATTGCACGACAGAATGAAGGGCCCTCCGATGTTGGGCATGATCCCTCCAAATGCAGCGGATCTCACCGCAGCTCTTTGAGTCACCGCTTTTACGTGCTCCCCCCACTTTCCGTTTTAACTCAGAGTCACCCCTAAATACCTCATGCATTTCTTTGGAACCATTATCTTTCCTGCACATTCAAATGTTATCCCATCCCTTTTCCTAGGTCCCTTGAGAATTATAGCCTCGGTCTTACCCCCAGCCAGTTCTAGCTCATTCATTTTCATACATTCCTCAACTTGGTTGCATGTGCGATGTGCACCAAAGATAAGGTCCTCCCTGTCCCGCGGCACTACTAGCATAGCGAGGTCGTCCGCAAATGCGAATGGGGTTACACCCTCTCCGTATTGTTGGCTCACAACCCCGTCATGTACCAAGTTCCATAGCGTGGGTCCTAAGACCGACCCCTGCGGCACTCCAGCCGTCAGGTCAACTACTACTCCTTTTTCTACCACAATTTTCCTCTCTGACAAATAGTCGGAGACCAAATTCATCAAGTACCTCGGACACCTCTCTCGTAGGGTCTTCATTACCTCTTTCCATTTTAATGTGTTGAAAGCATTCCGGACGTCAAACAACAGTAAGATTGTTCACCTCTGGTTAACCCCTACCCCGCGTAATTCCCGGAAGACTTCATTAGCGCATCCACCGTGCTCCTGTTCTTTCTGAAGCCGTACTGTATGGGTGACAGCCCGCCTGACTCTTCAATCACTGTGTCTATTCGCCCTCTTAAGAGCCTCTCGTATAATTTACCTATGCGCGACAGAAGGCAAACAGGTCGATACTTGTCTTCCCCCTTTGGGAGTAGCACGAGCTTCGAGATCTTCCGCTGAGTTTCAAGCAGTACATTCATGTGGTTCAAAAGCCACGTCGGCTCCATACTGCCAATACGTTTCACCGCTTCTGGTGGTATTCCATCGAGTCCCGGAGCCTTTCGTGTCTTTAGGGCACTCAACGCTTCGTTGAGTTCGTCTATGGTAAAAGGTACAGCTCGCTCAGCTTCGGCGTCCCACTGCACTCCATGCCAATGGCTGGGTGGAAATAGCTCTTGGGTAACCTCAAGCTTCCTGTCCAGTGACATCTCATACAGAGGGTACAGTTTGAACTGGTTCATTACGATTTTGTACCCCTGACCCCAAACGTCCTCATCCAACTTGTCACACAGTTCTCTCCAGTGCCTCTTCTCGGTTCGGATCATCCTGTTCAGTTCCTTCTTTCGCGCATTGTATACCATATCCATTCTGCTAGCTTCGGCTACTTCTCCTCTACCTCTTGCCCTCGTAGCCTGTCTTCTGATGGCAATGCATTCCTTCCTCTTATTGGCGATCTCTTCGCACCACCAATAAGGCATTTTTCTTTTTTCATCTACCCCGTTTATGCAATTTCTCATAGTCTCTCTTATTATTGATTCAAGTCCCTCTGCAGATGGCGGTTGGCATCTTCTCCTCTCTATCAACCATCTAGAATACTTATCAAACGCAAGCCAGTTCGTTCTATCTCCACATCTGTTTCCTGTTTGGTTCGCTGATGACTCCACGTTGGTAGTCCCTAATCCGACGATCGAAAAGCCAATGTAGCGGTGTTCTGTAGCGGTGTCATCTAGCAGCACGGTCCAGTCTCTAATTTTCCTCGCCGCATTCTGGGTGGCACAGGTGACATCGATATATGAATGCGAATTTCCCCTTACGAACGTTGGTTCCTGGCCATTATTTAAGTCATCACAAATCCCTCATGCGTATCAACACCATATACTCTCAGTTTTCTATTAAGTATCCGCACTCCTACTACGCCAGACGTATCATCGAACCATTCCCTACTGCGCACTAACGTGGGGTTTGGCTCCGCTGCTACCAGGATGTCAATTTCTTTTTCGGTTGCGGAGACCACAGCGAGTTCGTGAGCTAGCCTAGCCGTCCCAACATTTGTTTGCAGCACTCTTAACACCCTTTCACGCTTACTCCCCATTTTGTCGCTTAGTCAGTAACCCCCTACCCTTCTTCCACCTTCACCTCTTGCTCTTCTGATAATTCTCCTGAATTTGAGACACCAAGTGGACGTAGATATATGACCTTCCTCGTCACAATTAAACCACTTTACCGTGTTGCTTTGACACTGGGATTGCACATGCCCCTCCATCCCACACTTCCAGCACCTTTCTCTTTCTCTCTCCCCCTTTTGCTTCTTCCTCACAGTGTCTTGCTATGTGGCGATGTGCTTGACATCTATAGCATCGTGTCACCTTTACCATCTCCTTTACCGTGATGTGTACCATCCCGATCTTTATTCTTTCTGCCACTAAAAGTCTTCTGGCTATGTCCTCATCCACCTTCACATAACAAATTCTGCTTTCTCCCCTATTTGTCCTTATTTTTCCAACTATTTCACATGCTTCCTCCCTACCAGCAAATTTCTCCACCGATTCGACAATGTCTTTTTCTGTGGTTACGTTATCCATGTCGGCCAGCATCAAACCCTTCTTTACTCTTCCACCTTTTGCCACTACTCTTGTTGCACATCCTTGTCTTGATGCTGCTAAATTCCTAACTTGTTCCGCTATTTTCCTTCTTCTTAACATGCCATACACCAAAGTGCGTAGGCGACTATCTCATTACTAGAATTCTGTTCTTGGCGGCGTGACACAGCTCACCTGTATTGTGTATTCCTGTCCATTCTTTAATATTCCTTAACCAGGACAATTGTTTGCGGCCGGCTCCTCTCCTACCTTCGATCTTCCCTTGTAGGA